GGGGGGGGGGGGGGGGGGGGGGGGAGGGAGGTAGTTCACATTTTTCACAGTTATCCACGAATGCCCATATGCACATGAGAGCAGCAGGAACCCAAAACCATGAATGATAGGGAAGAGGATTCGGGACTGGCATGTGCAAGTACACGTGCGCATCACTGTTCCACAGGGGGCATGCTAATGTTCTCTGTATCATTCGCCTGTTGGGTCACTCGGATGAGTGCCATCATTCTGCAGGGGTCATGTTAATCTTCTCTGTATCCTTCACTTTTTAATGGATCGGTTTGCGTGGTGTAATTGTACTTGTGCGGGGTTTCCCACTTTTGGTCTTGTCCTTGGGCAGGCGCTTGTGAAGAGATACCGGTGGGCCCCTGACTGGCGGGCGACTCCCCTGAGCCTTTCATTTTCCGGTCATGTATTGAGGGATGGCATCAGTAGGAACCTCTTTCCAATTTTTAGGATAGTAGCGGACTTGACATTGGGAAGCTGGAAATTGGAGTCCATACTTAACGTTTTGAGTTGGTCTAAGTTTTTTATTTTTTTATTTTTTGGTAACGCTTCAATGCTGTAATAATATGTCAATATAGCTTATTGATATAGAAGTCTAGGTTGTTTTCCTGGCACTTGGGTGCCCAACTTGTGCCAGAATATACGCACGGGTGCTCAGCAGGGCATGACCCCCGGACAATGTTCCGGGCAGCTCCAGCGAAAAAAGAAAAAAAAAACAGAAACCCCGCCTTTAACTGCTCCCTTAGGAAGATTTTCATGACCGGCTTGGTCACACAGGCGCGACGCCCGGGATCCCCGGGCCTGTCAAAGAAAAAAAAAGAAAGACGGTGGGGGTTTTCCGTGCTCTACGAGAGGAGCCCAAATCCGGGCTCTATTCCTTTCTTGAGTGTCGTCTGTCAAGGGGGGGGGAGTTTTTGAAGGGCTGAAGGGGTTCAAAGGGGGGTGCCTTAGTGTGATTCGGTTATTTTCTTTTCTATCCTCAGTTCCGTGCGGAATTCTGATGTGACCCTCAGCCAAATGTTGCGAGTGTTGCAATTCTACACAACATTTGATTTTTTTTTGGATTTTTTTGGATTTTAAAGGCCACCAGAATGATGATGATTCTAAGCAACGTGTGTTTAGGGCATCATACCCTGCCATGCACGGACGGCCTCGAACCGGCACCCTCGGCCACAGGAACGAAGTATCGTAACCACTACAACGGTACAACCCTTGGCGGTGTTATAGAAACTGGATCCATAACGGTCGTGATATCCAGCCCACCCCCAGGGCTGCAGCGTCCTTGAACTCAACACCACACACCCAACGCACACCACACCACGGACTTGACAATCACGCACACTCCGTCGAACAGCACGTAACCCACCACCGCAAACCCGGTCACTCACACAGGCCAACTTGCCCGTGGGTTCCATGGGCGCCTCACAGCGATTCTGAGCAATGTGTGTTTAGGGCATCATACCCTGCCGTGCACGGACGGCCTCGAACCGGCACCCTCCGCCACAGGAACGAAGTATCGTAACGACTACAACCCTTGGAGGTGTTATAAAAACTGGATCCATACCGGTCGTGATATCACTACCAGAATGGCCCGAGACCACTTGCCCGGCCGGGCCAAAAAAAAAAGAAGTTTTTTTTTTTTTTGGTAAATTTGGTAAAGAATTTCGACGTGACCCTGAGTCAAGAGTTGTTCAGTTTATTTTTCTGCATAACATTGTTTTTTTTCGGTTTTTTTTTTTTTTTTTTTTTTTTTGGCTGGGACCTTGCCTGGCCCTTGCACGGCCGGGCCGCCTGGTAAAACAGGGTGACCCGGGCGGCCTGGCTGGTAGGCAACGGATTTTATTTATTTATTTATTTTTCATTTTTTGGTGCTGGGGCTTCCCTGGACCCTGCCCGGGGTTCATACCTGGCCGGGCACCCTGGTGTGTATCCGGGCACAAGTTGGGTGCCCGGGAAAACAGCCTAGCTTGAGCCGCATTAAAAGCAATTTGTACCTGCCTTTCTGCCCTTGACAGCTAACACTAAAAATGGAAAGAGCCCGCATTTGGGCTTGTCTGGGCATGCGTGGAAAACCCTCACCACCCAAAGATGAAAAAACGAAAACGTTGAATCCCATGCCCGGGTATCTCGGTCGTCACACCCCTGGGCAACACGCCTGTCCGCCGGCTGGGCAATAAAAGCAACCTAAATAGAAATCAGAATCACAGTATGGTCACGCCAGACCTGTACAGCTAACGGATGAGGACTGAGATCTGGACCTTGACCCAGATGGATCCTGATTTCTGGATATGTTTGCAGTTGGGAAACTTTCATGAGCCTTTGGAAAAGCTTCAGAGGCATCCACAGAACATGGAATCGACAATACTTTTTTGCGGTGATTTTGCTGGTTTTTTTTTTTAATCGTGGGAAAAAGAAAAAAAAAAAGAAAAAGAAGAAGAAGAGGAATTGGAGCAATCGTGAGGCTCAGGTTAAAATGCCAAAGCAGGGAAAAGAAGTAGACCAACCAGGCTAACTTAGGCAGGTGTTAGGGGGCGTATATCCTTCCGAAGGAAGCAATCACTGCCGCTCCCTTGGGTCTCTCAGCCGTAATGGGGAGAGTCATGGAGTGTATATTATGTATCTTGAATGACTTGCCGGTGGAAAAGGAAACACAGTGACGCTCCCCAGAATGGAAAAGGACCTGGGGCTGCAAGGCCCTGTTTTTTTTTTTTTTTAAAAGAGGAGGAATCGGAGAATAAGAAGCAGCAGCAGCAATTTGGTGGGGATTTGCTCAATGTTTGCAAAGAAGTTGTCAGCAATCCGTGCATGGGTCTGCTAAGGAGCTGTGAAGTACTCCTTTTGAGCGGGCAAAGCTGAGGTGGCTCTCTTGTTTGCATGGATGTAGATGCTCTGGTCATCTTGTCCTGCAGGAATATTCACCGTTTATGAATCTGGGGATGTATGTTGCTTGTGCAATTTGTCCAGAGGAAATCTGACGACCATAAACCGCTTTTACCCACTGGTGAGAACTCAGGGGGGGGGGAAGCAAAACCAGTCAGACAGGGTGATCGCTGTGGAAAGACACTCTTTGTTGAGCATCGGACGCTATGGCATGTATTCCGAAGTTTCTCACGAATGTGGCTATTCTTAGCAGTTGCACTTCAGGTGTGTACGTTCGTACCTGCTTCATGTGTTCGTCTCCAGCTCCTCCATCTCCTCTCTTTCTGCACCCGAACCACCACCTTGATTGGAATTGTTTATTCCTTCCCTTTTTTGCTTGCATAAATTGAAACGTCAAGTTTTTGGTCGTTGCCCATTTTTGTAGATTAGGCTTACAAATATAAGTTATCAAACAGTGACGCCCGAGTTCGATATCTTGTGAAAATTGCATGTGCATGTGCACGTGCACAGCTTATTGCAGTGGGGCTTGTGAATGTAGCACCAGCAGGGCCCGGCCCGGAAAGTCCATTTGTGTGGCATGGAGAGAGGTCTGAATCGCACATCTGTGCCCCAAAGATCCACCTGTATTGTGGCCCTTGCCTTTCTTTGGAATTGCTCCCCCTTCACGCATGCAACCTGTGGATTTGACTGTCGGATATGTATCGCAAAAGGAGACATTCTGACATAGTGATGTGATGCATGCATCTATTATCTTACAACGACATATGGATCTGACCAGACTTGAGGCCGTGTTTGGGTAGGGGGTGGGCTTGTGATCCTTCGGGATTTTGGGGTTTGCTTTCAGACTGAAGCGTATGACAGAGACGGTACAGCAATGGCATATGGATTCAACCAGACTTGAGGCCAAGTTTGGGTAGGGTGTGGGCTTGTGATCATTTGGGATTTTGGGTTTTGCTTGCAGACTGAAACATATGACAGAGATGGTCACCAACGCTCCGCACAGTTAATCCACTGCTCAGTGGTTAACTTCCTTGGTGTGGTAAATATACAAGGATTCAAAATCACTGGTCATGGGCTGGGAGCCTGTGTCTGATGCATTATAGTTTTCTTGCAGTTACAGTTTTACCGGGCGGGAAAGGCCTCCAATAGCGAACTTGTTCTCCCTAGCGCTCTCATCCAAACTCGAATTCTAAAGAATGTACTAAAGGGCACCTATGCAGAAAGGTTGTGCCAAGCGGGTACATATTCGCATTGTGAGATGTATGCAGTGTTGTTGATATTGCAAGATTTTCTGTGTCGGGTTCATTACAGACATTCTCTTTTTTGTGTTTTCTTTTTCCTGAAAATTTTCTTTAATTTTAAATTTGGACCATTTCCCGATTTATGCGTGTCATCCTTGTGCAGGGGCCATGCTAATCTACTCTGTATCGTTCCAATTTTAACGGATGTGCTGAAGGACACTCTTTTTTGTGTTCTTTTCTGAGTGAGGACGCCGCGCGGCCGGGGTGGGCCCGGGGGTGTCGCCCGGGTAAACCGGGCGGGACAAAAAACTGCCCAGAATTTTTTTTTTTTTTTTTTGAAACCGGGGTCGTTCTGCACTCGGCGAGAGGACCCCGAATCTGCAATTAAATTTTGGTTTCGGGTGGTGGGTGGG